TGGTCTCGGCCGAGTCCCGGAGCGCCACGAGTGTCAGTTTGACCAGACGTACGTTCGCGTGCCTCTCGTACCGGATCTCACGTACTTTGGCGAACATGTAGTCCTTGCCCTTCATGTGCTTGTTGTGATTGGTCTGCTTATAGAGGTTCAGTGCCCGGACGTGATCGGAGTACAGTCGGTGGCCGTACGGTATGTACGCCACTTCGTCGTCCTTTTGCGGATAGTACGGGAACTTCTTGGGCCGCGTGTGGAGCAGCCAATCGCTGTTCGATGCGGAAGTCACCGACGGCCCGGCCATCGCTGTCAGCGCGCAATGGAATAGAGAGATTCAGGTGATTAATAAGTGGCCAAATATTTATAATTTACATATAATAAGCAACAATAAAACATAACTAAGATTACTATTAAAACATAATTAAAACTACAGTTCAGACTAAATATCAATTGATTATAACAACAATTACGACAACGAAACATACATTTATTGGTACAGAAAAAATCATTTGATAGATAATACACACAGTATTTAATTGTGGATTAAAAATGTAAATTCAAATCACATCTAAAAAATGCATTAAGTGCTAAGATATCCACGAATAGTATTAATTAAAGTTTATATTAAAATAAAGTGAAAAACAATGAGATATTTATTGAAAATAATAAAAAACGTGAAAAAATGTGTATTAAGTGTAGAGATAAAGAGAAAAATAGCGGAAAAATAATTGCCATTAAATAGTAGTGTATTTTAATAATAATTACGACAAATTATGTTTGGTTTTAATCACTAAAACGTCTGGAAAAAGGCATAAAATAACAGTTAAACACATATTTTTTTCATACAATTAAATGCTATATAAAAACCAAACAAATTTTTTATTCAGAAAACAAATCGTAAAATATGTTATAAGAGAGAGAAAAAAATAATACTTTTAATTATAATTAAAATACTGTTTAATCAATTAGGATATAAGCGATACCTGCGGTGTTGTTCTGTGGCTCCGAGTTGTTGGCAACGGACCCAACGTTCTCCACGTCCGGCGAATGACTAGCTCTGCCGCCGACGGCTGCGGCGGCCGTCGGTTCCCGTCTTTGGACACTGTTTGGTGAGTTCTGCGACCGCTTTTTGGCCTCTCTATCGGGAGTATTGCACGCCATGTGAATCGTCATTAGGCTGTTCTCCTCGTGAGACGACGACGACTGCTGAGACACACGTCGACCGACGCCTTCGGGCCGACTATTGTTGACGGCCTGAGTCGGGCGACCATTGGTGACTGGAATAGAGCCGTTCGAGTGAGTGGTGGCAGTAGAGGTAGAGGCGGAGGAGCCGACAGCTCTCGAGGCCGCCGCCGGCGAAGACTTGACCCGTTTTGTATGAGTGTTGCGCTCAAACTCTTCGACATCTGAGTTCCAACCGGTGCTCTCATCGCTACCGTCGGCGCCGCCATTGGCCGTCCGTTTGTTCGTTCGCAACGCCTGTTCCTCCTCTCGGCTCAGACTGATGTTCGGCCGCGAGAGGCGGGACTTCTCCGACAGCCGACTCCTGAGCAATGGGTTCCGGTCCGCGATATACCCGTTGGGCGTAATCGTCGCCCTTTGAATCACATTGGAATCGGCCATCAGTTGGTGGCCATTACTGGGGCCCAGAGATTGAGTGGTGCGGGACTTCGTGGGGCTTTTGCGGGGCCGTCCGGGACCCCGACGCCGCTTCGGCGGCGACCGCACTGTATTGGATGGATGATGAGTGTTGGCGTTGACCAGAAGGGGCGGACTTCGCAACGGCGGACCCGCAGCGCCCGCGTCGTTAGCACTGTTGCCATTTTCGATCGTAGGGGCGGTCCGTCGGGCAAAACCAATGGCCCGATTGGGCGTATCGTTCATATCGGATGGAAGCGGACGAATGGGTGACAATACGGGAGGAGAGGGCTGTGACTTGGATGGCGACGAATTGGTGTTTGGACTGCCACTAGTGGTACGTCTACCGCCGGCAACTCCACCTCCGCGAGCGGCGGCGACGGTCTGATGAGTATTGGCCGCCGGGGGGCTGACGCGGGCCGGCTCTCCCTCCACAGACAAGTCGATGAGTTGTTGTACTTTAGGAATGAGTCGATGAGTGATGTACTGTTCGCGCAGTTGCTCTTCGGTGAGCGCGAGATTGTGGTCGGCTTTGATGTGCGCCTTGAGATACTTGATGGATGGGAACGACTCGTTGCACACCTGTTGGCCGCCTTTGACCGCTCGGCACGCGTACGGCAAGTAATCCAAGTGTTGGTGCAGATGAACGCTCTGTTGGGTCTTTGACAGCGACTTCAGACCAGATATCGTATATAACGCTGTCTTATGCTTGCATTTCAAGCATCTGTAGAGAGACAGGTCTTCGCCTGCGATAGAGATAATCGTTATTTAGATATAAAATTTCATTTAAAAATATTAAATTAAATAATGTTTCAAATTTCAGGCAAAGATAATCTTTCGCTACGAATAGACATTTGAAATAAAATACAAAAAAGTTATACAATATAACAATTTTTGTAGAAATTAATGGAAAAATTGCTTTTGGGTTTTTACTAGAAATAAAATCAGTTTAACATTACAATTGACATACAATTCCGTGCGTGATATTAATCTCTCTCAACAGTATCGTCGACACAAAAATCAATTCAATTAATCATTTCAACAATCAATTAACAATTATTGTATTCAACAAACAATACTATAAACATATTTAACACGAAATTTCACTTTTTAATACATTGAGAAAGAGAAAGATGTTATTCATAATTAATATTCAGTCCAACTCCTCAATAGCTCTCTGTTTTGCTCTCTCTCTCTCTCTCNTATGAAATACTTGTTGACCTAATTCTTCAATAATATTCTAATATTCTTTGCCCATAAAGCGATCGATTCTTGAAAAATATCAAAAAGTTCCCCTAAATTCTGTGTCTATTCGTCAAGAAACACAGAAAAATAGTCTATTTATACACAGAAAAAACACATGATATTAAAAACAGGCATAAGAAACACATACATCACATATCGATCGTCAAGTGTTGCACTCATTTAACATTTAATTTTATTTGTAATTCAATCGCAAACTTCACTAAATAGGATAAGTTTATGCAGATATCGATTCATATACATACAGGTATACAGTATACACAATACACTGTACACACACTGGCATACATTAATAGCCAGGTATTTGAATAGCAAATACACTATAAACTGTTGGTAACATTTTCCATATCATTACACATCAAACTAATGAGAAAATTGTTAGCACAAAGAAAGTGCAATTTATGTGAATTTTTAATTATCTATAATTACGTTATCAGTAGTTTTATTGTACACATACTGTGCGCCCCCTAAACACCCGCTCACATCACCACTCCGTACGCACAGCACATATACTGTGCGATTGAAATTCAATAATCATTTCAATGACTAATACATACAGAAATATTGTCTCAATCATCAGCCAATTCACACCACAATCACCGGTATATTACTGTCGACACCAAACACCTACTGCTCGTCGGGTGCCGTCTCTGCGACCGTATTATCGAGTGCTTTAAACTGGATCTCATGGACAGACAGAAGCGTAAGTGTGTTTTAATTCACACCACAATCACCGGTATATTACTGTCGACACCAAACACCTACTGATCCGATGGGATGTGCGGCCAATAATACGCTACGAGAAGAGCCGTACGATTGAAATGAGTGGTTAGATATCATACGCGCAGACATTGATTATCGTTAAACGCTGTCATCGACAACAACAACACTGCCATTAAATACAGTATAAAACAAGTTTTGATTTGGCGTTTGATTTGCTGCACACATGTTGTATGGCATTGAAAAGTGTAAACTTTTTTTTCCCCCAAACTATTCAAAAAGCTATGCAAACAAACTGTTCACTCAATTGACACCAGTATTTAAAAAACACATTTCCTATGAAAACAACGCATCCGATGGCTGTCTGTGAATACAAAACACAGTTTTTTCTGCCAATTCATCCGCTTATGCAATGATCAGGCAATCGGATCCACACACACACACACACACACGCTCACGAGGAATAACACAGAGATGGGGACAGACAAGACATTACATACAATTATCATCACAATTACCTGAGAAGGGCATCGGTTCCACGCAATCGTAGTGCGAAATTTGCGAACACAGATGACAAGTGGCCACCACTTTGTTGGACTCCACTCCCGAACCGCAAACACACTTACGCTTCTGTCTGTCCATGAGATCCAGTTTAAAGCACTCGATAATACGGTCGCAGAGACGGCACCCGACGAGCAGCTCCGGCGACGTGTCATCGGTGGCCGCCGTCGACGACGAAACGGTCGGCAATCGGGACGGCGTTTGGCGAAGCGATCGGTTCAACGCCAGCTGATAGGCGGCCAACTTCGCGATCCACGCGTCCGTCTTCTCGTCGACCCGACGGTCAAAGTGTTTGTTGACGATATGGTCGCGCAGTTTGCCTGAAGACTGGCCGTCGACTTTCCAC